GCTGAGCTGGCTTTTCTGCTGTAAACGTCATCCTCACAGGGACAATTTTGGAAGTCATGGGAGAGAGGGCTTGGAGAAGAGAAGTCAAGTTCCACAAGCCTTGTCCATCATGCCTGGGCTGCACCTGTGCGCTCAGAACACAGGGCATCTTTGGCTTGTGTATCCGAGAGGCAGACACAGAAGAAGCTTGGGTTTAGGAGTCCAATCTGGTGCCAGCCCAGGTTCACGCACCAGGCCTACCCGGTCACCTTGGAAATGACCCTGAATGGGACTGGCTCGCCTCTCGGAGTCTTGGTTTCCTCAGCTAAAAAATGAGGATGTGAACACTTATCCCAGGGTTGAGAGTAAACAGAAAACATAGAGGTACATTCACTCCGCCACAAACATGTAGCAAATACCTGTATGTCCCCAGTTCTAGAGTAAAGGAATTAAATGGAAGCCCATCTCAGGGGTTTCATCTGGAAGGAACACATGAATTGTGGGGGGCTACCATGGCTTGGTTCTGATTCTTCTAAAACATCCAGTCTCTCTGCAACTGCCACGAATCAACATACCCATCTGCCCCTTCCCCACCCCATACGAAAGGCTGTATCTTCTGCCTTTAGAGAAGAAAGAAAATGAATGTTCTGCTCTGCAGAGCTGCTTTCCAGAGCCGCAGAAAAGAGCCCACGTGAACCACACTGGTCTTGGCAGCCACTGCTCCGCTCCTCACAGCCAGAGGCTTAAAGCTTTATTTGTGGTTTAAGTTACAAGCAAGGGTGAAAACCCCAGAAAAGGGTCAGGGGGAGGAGAACACATTTTAAAAGTTAAGAAAATTGCCTTGTGTTCTCAAGTGCGGGCAATTCGTCCAAACACCTGAGAGGGGAGCATCCTAACAGTCTGATCGTGGTTCTGTTCTGGGGGCTCTGGGCCCAGTGTCGGGAGCAGGGGGGCTTTTTTCTTTTTTTCATACATTAAGAAAATCACAAAATCGCTTTTTACAAGATATTAATGAGTAGCTTTCCTGCTTCAATGGCGACATTGTTGGAGGTTTTGAAAAAAAGCCAGATCCAGGTTTAGGGGGTGGTTTTGCTCTGAAGGTTGTTACATGAAGAATTTCACAGTCATTCCCCAGGGAATTCGGGTGTTGCCCCCCTCCCCCCTCCCAGGATCCAGAGCAGAGGACATTAAATATTTTAGGGACAGAAGTGACCATTAAAGTCTTCAAGTCCAACCCTCACCTTACACTGATGACAAAACAAGGCCCAGAGAGAGTAGGCAACATGCCCAAAGCAGCCCAGCAGATTTATGGTAGAAGCCAGTCTAGACTCCCAGCTCCTGGACTTCGAAGATCTTTCTGGCAGCCTTTGAGGCAGACCAGAGGTGACATTCCACTTCAGAAAGCATGACTGGCCTCCCCTCATGTTGACATTTCTGCCGCAGTGACTTTGAAAGCTGCCGTTTATAGCCCTGGCTTTGGAAGGGCAAACACTGTTATCAGTAGAACAACACAGGTGGCTTCTGGAGTTGGGTCCAGGTGGAGCTGGGCAGGAAGGGAGGCCCCTCTGCGCAGGCAGCCATGACCCAGTCACTTGTCTGGGTTCAGAAGGGTGCACAGACCCTCCCTGGGGAGTGGGACAGGAGGCTAGTGTGGTGGCGAAGCAAAGGCTTGGCTCTGGGGAAGACGAGATGGTTCGAGTCCCAGTGATGCTACTTGCCAACAAACTCCCTGATGACCTAAAAAACAGGGATAATGTCAGCTCAGTCACAAGTGCTCAGGAGCCTCGCGTTGCTGGTGGCTCCTTTGTTGGACAACGCAGGCAGAGGATTATCACAGAAAGTTCTGTTGGACTGTGCTGGTGGGGACACTGGGCTCTTGACATCGGTTGCTTGTTTCTGGATCTCGCCCACCTTGGCCACCTGAAAACAGAGGGCTGGCCCATGTGAGGGCTCCAGCTTTAATGGCTCAGACTCTAGGCAGAGACAGCCCAGGTTCCAGGCTCATCCCTCCTCCTTGGTCCTCTCCATTACTGTGGGGATTTGGTTTCAAGATTTGGGGCCTTGGCTGAGTAACTGTATCATGTTTCCTGATGCAAAATCCCAGGCCGGAAATATGCGTAGGTCCAGGGGCCAGGAGCTATGTATGCTTGATGTGAATGCTGTGGTTTTGAGTCAGAAAGCTTTGGATTCATGTCCCGGCTCCCCTACTCAGGTTTTAGTGGTCCTGAGTAAGTCAGAGAACCTCTCTGGACCTCAGTGTCCTCATCAGTGTTCTCTCTGCCTGCCAGGTCACATACTGGTAAGGGGAGGAAGTAAAGGTGGTAGAAGACACTGTCATCCGTAAAACACACTGCTAAGAACGGGACACTGCTAAAAAGGGGGGTTGGCTTTTCTTCTTCCTCTGCTTCTTCACTACAGTGGTATTTAGATGGAGGCCAGCAGCTGCCTTTGAATCTATGTAAATAGATGCTGTACTTTTTGGAAACATTCTCCAGAAGTCTGGAGATAAGAAGAATCTGGTATCCCAGAGACACCCTGAAAGACTTCCCTGGAGGGAGGGGAGGGGAGGAGGAGAGAAAGAGGAAGCATTCTTTGAACACCTATTATGTCCTTGATACTGTGACAGTCACTTTCATGTAGAGTGACGGTGAGGATGAGGATGCCTAAGTTCATCCACAGGTACAGTCCTGAGTGTCTTACACATATTAACCCCATTTTGCACATGAGGACACTGAGGCAGTGAGAGGTTAAAGGAAGTCAACAAGGCCACCCTAAGCTGCGGTTTAAGTCCTAGCAGTCCAGGGCCACGTGAGACTACCGCACGGCACTGCATGCTCCCATAGGCTGCGTGCTGTGGACTCTCGCACACGCCACCTGCATCTTCCAGACGGGAGACTGAGGCTCAGGAAAGTTAGGTAGTGTGTGCAGGGTCACACAAAGGAAAGACAGAAAGTTCACTGCTTTTTTTTTTCCTTCAAAATTATTTCCTTCTTTGACTATGTTTTTAACTGATAGAAAGGCCATTCAGCATGAATCCAAATCTTGCTTTCTATTATTTCCTTGCTTGAATCCTATTTCCCTCTTTGGATCAGACAGAAGAAATCTATTGCCTCATGATTTCATAGGGAAATCTCTGAAAGAAAGCGTCTTCAAGCGTGGCACATAGCAGTAGGGGGCTGGCAGGCCTGCTCTCCCAACTTCCTCATCTCTTCTCTTCCTCACGAAAAAAATGCAAGTCCTTAAGCCTTTACAAGATGACGACGTCATTCCCTTCTGTGTTCCAGTTCTGCACCCTTTGCGACATGTTCTGAATGTGGAACGAGACCTTAACCCTATATTCCAGCTTCGGTCTGACCAAGGAGGAAGTGCAGTGTCACCTTACTCTTTGACCCTATGCTCCTAGTGATACAACCAAAGTCTACGTTCTTTCTCTTGGCAGACATCACACACTGCTGACTCACAACTCTCTCGTGTCCTGACTTCCTGTCTGTTGCCCTTTCCTCTACTTGGACTGATTTCTTAAGATCTCTCTCGTTGTCATCATGCTGGGACTCATGAGGGATTCCTTCAGCAGGTACCTTGTGGGAGCTCTCAGGATAGGGGCTAATCCATACCCTCCAATGTAGGCCTTCAAATTCCCCCAAATCGCTGGATCCAGTGGGACACTGGACAATGCTTTCTGAGTCTGCAGGGGAAGCAGCTAACAGAGGGCTATTTCATACAGGGTCACATCAGTAAGTGATGGGAAAACACCCTTGGCCAGGGGATGAGCTCTGCTATGTTCCTATGTGATGCTCGCTTCCAAAAGGGTCTGGGAGCCATAATCCATTCGTGCATGGATTCACTTTAAAGTAGTGTGGTTGGTAGTTCAGGCTTTGGAATCTGACAGGCCTGGACTCAAAGCCACTTCCCACCTTTGTGACCTCAGGCCAAGTCCCAACACTTTTAAGCCTCAATTTCGCTCTATAAAACTGAGGGCATAATAGTACTTACTTCATTGTGATGTTCAGAGGATGAAAAGAGAAAGTAGAAATAAATGTTGTACCCCTGGGCATTGGCACAAAGGGAGAGTTCAGCATTTGGGATGATTTCTGCATGCCTTTGCTCTCCCATTCAAGCATTTATTCAGCAGATATTCACCGAGACTCTGTGGGGGTGCTGTGAAACGAACACAGATGCTAATAAAAGCCTGAGAGCAGGATCCAGCTCTAGTGGATAAAAGCGCCTCTGGGGACCAGCCAAATGCTTTACAGAAACTCTGCTGTGGTTCTGGATTTGGACAGCCAGACACGCCAGCCACTTCACTGCGCCCCAACACACGATCTCCTGGGCCATCTCTGAGGTTGAAGTTTCTCTGGTTACTCTCAATGTGATCTTGGGCAAATCCCATAACCCATCTCAGCCTCTGGCACATTTCGTATAGCACGGATATGTGAATATCCACAGCACTAAGGTTTTGTAGTAGATCAACCAATAACAAAGGTAAGATAAGAAGCCAAGCCCGCACTTGGCCAACACCCCATCAGTTTTAGCTGTGTCCCCCTGACCACTCCCTCTGCCCGCCAGCCCTCCACCACTATGTGCCAAGCTTGGGCTGGATGCTAGTGGTCAACAGATTCACGTAGAAAGTTTAAAGTTTCGGCAGGGGTAGGGGGGTGGGGGGGCAATAAACATTTGAACTTCCAACCCTAAAAGAGAAGGCTAAGAACTATGATAGAATTATGTCCAACGTGATATAGGAATACCAGGAAGGGCAAATCCCTTTCCTGCTTGGCCCTCAGTTTCCTTATCTGTCAAATGGGTGCAATTTGTTTAGACCTCACATGAGATGACTTAAGTGAGTTAGTAAATGTCAAACTATAACTTTAGTTCTGTGCTAATGCTCCTAATTACTTATCTATGTCCCCATGAGAAGTCAATCCTCTTGAGGGAGGGCCTCTGTCTTACTCATTCCTCTCTCCCCAGCACATTGACACAGAGCAGGTGCTGGTCAACATTGGTTGAATGAATTGATGCAAGCATTTATTATCTCATTTTATTTCTCCAACCTCAGAGGGGTACATTCATTTTATAGATGCAGAAAAAACAGTGTACAGAGTTCAACCAGTTGCCTGGCAATTAGTGACTGAACCAGGCAACTTCAGACCTGTTCTGATGACCTTTCTTCTAGATTCCACAACAGAGGCCACTGGCTCAGGTTGGATGACACTGCTCTGCTGGACATGACTCACCTTTCTCCATAGGTCATTGAGGCCAATCCATCAGGCTCTTACACTGAGTCATGGGTGGAGGTGAACCTGGGATTTGAAGAGAAAGCAGAGCTATCCTGTTGGACCGGTGTGCCCAGGGGTCCCTCAGGCTAGCCAAACATATCACTCGGGAAATCCTTCCTGGTGGGTGACAATGGGGTGGATACAGAGACATCACATGGTCCACTCCCCTCTCTCACAAGAGTATCTGAAGGGCAACACCTAACCTGCCACTGTGCCTCTCCATTCCCAGTGCCAACACCTTGACTTCTGCCCTCATCATCTCTTGTCTTGACTGGGATTTCAGTCCTGCTTTATTGACCTTCCTCTAAGAAAATAAGTAACATGCATTGTCACACATGATAAGTATGTCCTGCTTATGTTTAAAAAAAATCTTTAAAAGCTCCCTAGTACGTAGAGAATAAAGTCAAAACCCCTGGCCCAGCATGCAAGGCCCTACTGACTACACTTCAGCCTACCTTCCCAGTCTTCTTCCTGTCTGTCCTCCCTGGGTTTCTTCACTTTAGCCCAATATATGTGTCGCTATTCCTTGGAGCTGCCTTTTACCCTTTGCTCTCCTCGCCCTGGATAATACACTTTCTTTCACATTGAAGTCTTCCCCATTGTTTTACTCATTCTTCGATCTGAGCTTAAAAGCCACTTCCTTTAGGAAGCGTTCCCTGATCTCCTCAACCCCAAATGATAATACTAATTACGTTTATTGATCATTTATTTTGTCAAGGCTTAGCGATGAGTACTTTAACACTCTTCCTTTAATTTGATACTTCCAACAATCTAACATGGTCATGAATACTATTATTCCTCTCATAGGCGTGGAAACTGAGACTCAGAAAGGAGAGCTAAGCTGTCCACACTCACACACCTCGTGAGAGTTCCAACATCGGTCTGCTTGACTCCAAAGTCACTCCGTGACTTTGATTCTTATCCAACAAATTCTTTGCACCTCTTTGGGGCACTCATTGTGTTGGATGTTGTGTTTTCCTACAGAGCTTATCTACTCAATTCTACTTGATCTTCCAGAAGACAAGGGACTCTTTCTTGTGCACCTTTAGCTCTCTGGGTGGTGTAGTGTCTGACACATACTGGGATGTAGGACAGAAAGCAAGAGTTATTGGGCACTTACTGTTTGTAGCCCTGTGCTAATGGCTATTCCAACACACACACACACACACACACACACATTCATTTAAGTATTGTTAGTCCCATTTTACAGAGCAAGAAACAGAGGCAAAGAGAGGCTAAATAATTTTTCATCATCTAAAATTTGTGTTTGAATTATTTTTTAATCATTTGAATGTATTTCTTTTTAAAAAACAAAATTAGTTTATTTGAAATATAGACCCACACAAATCTTTGAAAATCCCACATCCTGAGAAGAATTTAGACTTGGGCTTCTCTGACTCCAGGGATGTTAGGATTATGGGCAGCTGCTTTTGACAGTAATCATGAGGTTTAATTCTTTCACTCGGAAAAGAAGCCCAGAGGGAGATGATAGCTCTCCACGGTGGCTGAGACCCAGGCTCCTTCCATCTTGTTGCTCTGCCATCCTTCAAGCATGGTTTCCATCCTCTGGCCCAGCATGGCTGCTCCTTCCAACCAGACGGAGGGCGAGCAGGATGGAGGGCATGTGTCCTGCAGTTAAGCGCACTCCCCAGAAGTCTCACACACCACTTTCGCCGCTTACAACCCATGGACCCGAACTTAGTTCCATGGCAACACTCAGCTGTAATGAAGGCCATATAATACCGCCTTGATTTCCAGCAGCCACATGCCCAGCTAAAACCCAGGGGCTCTGTTGTTGAGGAGGAAAGGGGAGAGCAGCTCTGTGGGGACCACCAGCTGTCCCCTGACACAGGTCTGAGTGTTTTTCTTTCACCATGTGTCTGCCCTTCTCGCTAAAACTGCTTTATGATTGGAAATGTGTCATCCTTCAGAAACACTCTCGGGCCCTCTGCAGAGGAGGCTAATACACACTGGGGGAGGACAATCACCTGTTCATCAAAGACCAACTTCTAAACCCAATGATCAACGGTCCTTCTCTGAGGGAAGGTCCAGTTGTGTGTTCCATGGCAAATCAATTACTCTCCCTAAGCTGTATGACCTTGGGCAAATCATTTGACCACTGTAAGCCCGAATCAGTTACATGGAGATGAGAATAAAATAACATTTACTTCAGAGAGTGGCCAGGCGGCTCAAACAACATCATGAGAAACATGAGAAATTAATTTTGATAGTGAATTTTGTGGAACCCAATAGTTCCACAGTATTAGCGTGGTAACATGTAATCAATTTAAGTTACTCATGAGATATTTTACATTCTGTTTTCACACGAAGGCTTTAAAAATCCAGTGTGTATTTTATATTTACACATCATTTCAATTCAGACCAGGCATATTTCAAGGGGCTGCAGGCTCCTGAGGTGGGCAGTACAGACAGAGGCTCCCTTACCTGCCCTTTCTGGTCCTTCCCCTTGCATCCTGTACTGACAGGTGAACAAGTCATCCTTCCCGCGTCCAGTGGCTGTTTACTTGCCTTATCCACGAACAGCTCCCTGAGGAGACAGAAAGAGTAGGGTCCCCAGGGCCTAACACCGCACCTAGCACAGAGCAGACATTCAATCAATCCTTGCTAAACAAACATTATTCATTTCTCTGTCCCCCGTACCCAACCCAGTGCCTGACCCTCAATAGGCATTTAATAAAGACTTACTAAATTAATGAAGTAATGACTCGGTACTTTAATGGGGGCTGAATTTGCGCTTTGCTGGCAGGTGAAAACCAGGCCATTTATTGCAGAGGAGACAATGGTAGCTTTCTAGCCCTCAAAGTAACACCTGCTGTTAAGTCAAGTTTCCTTCCCCACCTCCTTGCCCCCAAAACAGAAGTGGAGCCAGATGGTAATCCGTGGGCTGGCACATTCTGGAAAGATCACGCAAACGCCTGGCCTGCAGTGATAAGAAAGCATACCAAGTTCCCGTGAACCAAGAAAATTAACTCCCAGCTGAGGCTTAATTTCTCTGGTTCACTGTATTCTTTTTCTTTCAAGACTGACTCGGCTCTGCACGAGGTGAGAGGCTCTGAAAAGTCGCCCGCCATGGCAACAGAAATCTAGGAAATTTTACTGAAATACTAATAAACTTCACAATGATGGGACATGTCAGCCTCAGCAGCCCCATTGTTTAGCGTGATGACCCGTGGCAGCTCGTGGTCCGTCTGTGAGCATGGACTTCCTCATCTGCGAGCTGGGAGCGACTGCACAGGCGTCTCTGGCTGTGCAGGGTGAGGACCCGGGGAGAGCAGGGAGCTCCCCGCACGTCCCACGTCCCACGCTCAGGGAGAGCTGACTTGCCTTGTTCCTGTGAGGCTCTCCTGAATGCCATTTGCAAAGCAAGACTTGGCATCATTTTTGTCTTGACAATCAGCCACAGGCTGGATGATTTCCTTAGAGTTATGTAGAGCGTTCCCCCGCCCCTCCTTGTGGACAACTGAAACACAAACACAAATGAAGAAAGATCTGAGTCCAATCATCTCTTTGGAGCCTGGTGGCAGGCCAGGAGGCCGGTCACAAAGGCTGCATTGAGCTGCATACAGCAGCCTGATGGGCTGGGGCTTCGTCCCAAACATTCTTTACTAGGCTTGGTTGGGGGAGGGTTGGGGGAGGGGTTACCAGCCTCCCAGTATTTGTTGCTGTGTCCCCACAGCAACCGCGTTGGCCAAAGTGAAACCTTGAAACTGCGCATCGAAACAGGGGAGGCGCTGCAAGGCCTGGCCTGACTGAGAGAAGGCTTCCTCCTGCACCCTTCCCTCGCTGTCTGACTGGAGTGTTCTGGGCTCCTTTCAGAGGGCATGAAAGAGAAGCTATTGTGCGGGCGGCACCCAGCCTCCTGCCTGCGCTAACAATACTGGGGTGTGCGAAGGCTGTACCAATTGCTCAGGACGGGTTTTAAGAGGCTTACAGCAAATCAAGCTGCCTGGTGTTGTCTGCAGAGCTTTAAGCAGGGTGTACTGACTGGTTCTGGAGCAGGCCAGCCATACCACTCACCTGGGTGCCCTTGGGCAAGTCACTTATAGTCACCAAGCCCTTTCCTTAGCAAAAAAGAAAAAAAATCCCAATCCACTAAATCTGTGATGTCTCTCCTGAACTAGATGCTGGAATTACAACGTTAAAAACATATGGTGGCATAGTAACCTATAATGAAAAAAAAGAAAGAAAACAAATTATGTGTCTATGTGTGACAGAAGCATGCTGTACACCAGAAATTGACACAACATTGTAAACTGACTATACTTCAATAAAAAAATTTTTTTAATTAAAGAAAAAACACATGATGGCCTCAGGGAGCTCACATAGCCTACCAGGCAGAGCTTTACTTAAATAGTAGGGTGGCTCGTACCACGTGCCCTCTACCTGGCTCCCAGTGGGGACCAGTCATCCTATAAAAGTTCATTTCCCTTCCTTCTTCATCCTGGGCTACTCCAAACAAAGCCCTGAAAGATGAACAGACCCATGTACTTTCATAACGTGCTTCTCGTATCCAAGATACTTTACCAGACTGGACATAACTGGTGGGTGGTGTGGGGGACTGGTCTTTCGTTGATTTTTATGCCTTGTGTCTTCATTACAACATACTTTCACCATCCAGCTCTCATTGAATTTTTCTAACTATCTGCTGAACTTGGAAGGGCAAGATGTTGTCTTCACTCCAGGTTGGAGGTGCCAAAGCAGGAAGGGAAGTGATGTGCCCAGGTCGCAGAGGGAATTAGGCAGAGCTGGGATTCGAATATTCATTTCCCAACTTCTTTCCAAAAATATTTCTTGAGCAGCTACTAGGTGCCAACATTGTTCTAGAGTGCCCTCGAGTAGATGAGAGGGATGGATCAGCTTTAATCCCTGGTATGTTTTCTACTATAATGACACACACACCCCCCTCATTATCCCCTTTGGGTATACTGTTAAACTGCTTTCAAATGCAATTTTTTTCAATTGCATAGAATAGGCTTACCAGGAGGTGAAAAAAATATTGCCCCAGGGGTCTTGGAGACCCTGCCTCGAACACAGTGGGTTAGCCACTGCTCTTCCTGCTGGCTTCCCCGAGCATTTGTACACACCTCTAACTGCGGGGTATTTATGTGGTCACGGAAGATGGAACACTGCGAAGGCAGGGACTGTACGCTTTTCCTCTCTGCAGCCCTATGACTAGAAATTTGTGGCATGTACATATTCACAATCTAATTGGGAAAGGAAGGAGAAGAAGAAATAAAAAGGAAACAGATGAGAATTGGATCTTCCTGCCTTACCAAACCTCTCACCTTTCACAAGAAGCATGTGCTTTGTATTATTTTATAAATACACCTTCTTGACAGTAAGCAAGAAATTTCTTTTCTTTTGCATTTGTGAAAGATGAAGGAGAAAGGAGGAAAGGAATAAAGATTTACTGAGTGTCCAGAGTGTTCTAGGCACTCCGTTAGTCACATGGACGATCTCTTTTGTGGATACCCAGCACAGTCATCAGCACTGCCATTGAGTTTAACAGTCACGGAATGGAATGGGAGGCTTCATGTGGTAGTGAGCTCCCCATCAGTGGAGGTATGTAAGCAGAGCATGGATAATGTCTGCGGAGAATCTCAGCATCTAAGGGTCATCGGGTTTTATATTGGCTATGGTCCAACTCAATCCTGGAAGTCCAAGGGTTCAAGTTATATCATTCCCTAACTGTGTAATTGATGAGGTACTTCGAGGTGTCTCATCGTCACAATGTAAGTACAGACGTAGACTGGGTTGTGGCAGGAGGTGTTGCAGCACAGCACGTGAACATGCAGATTCTGAGGTCAGACTGCTGGGGACAAAATCTGTCTCTGCTACTTAAGAATTATGCTACATGCCTCAGTCTCCTCGTCTGCAAAATTAGAGTAATAGCAGGGTATACCTCACCCTAAAATTCATCTGAAGTGCTTAGGACAGCATCTCGCACATAGCAAGTGCTCAGGAAATGTCAGCTGTACTTCAATCATCTCTTAGCAACTGCACCGACTGCGTCCTGGGCCTTTGGGTATCTGTATGGCCCATAACTCTCACATTAAACCACAGCCAACTCCATTTAGAAAGACTGGGCTCAGCAGACAGAAGCCCTTGGGGACTGAGGTGCTTTGATGGGGGTACCCGCGGCCCCAGCCAAGCCAGCCCCCTTCCTGCTCCAACACAGGCACCCATCTGCCCTGCTCAGGTAACGTGTAGAAATGTTTATGGCGACCTCATTTGTTTTCCTTTCTGTGACTGCTGCCTTCCAAAGACCAGGAACCGCTGAAATTAAACCAAGACAGGGGCCAGGGGAGCAGACAGGGCTGGGCCTGGGCCAGGAGTAATGAAGTGGAAAATGTTCACACCACAGGCAGCGTTACAATGCACCTGTACAAATAGAATGAGACCTGCCCCCAACCACCCCCCCTTCCCTACCCCCACCCCTGGCCTCCCAGGGGCCTCAAGACTTCTCTTTATGGCCTTGCTCGCTCCCCTGCCCCACCAATGCCAATGCCTACAGTGGAGATAAGAAACAAAGACATTCAGAGTGGAGAGGTTAGGGGAGGGACAGAATGAGATGGAGGGGAAAACAGAGACACACTTAGTTCAAATGTTTCCTGTAAGTTCTGCTGAGTTCTCTGAGAGCCAGGTAGCCTGAAACAGGGGAGATGTGCACAGTTAAGGAGTGCCAACTAGGTCCCGGGATGTGGGCAGAGCACTGTCATACACCTTTGCTCAAACCACCCACCCGATATGATTTCACCGAATTTCATCGACAAGGAAATTGAAATCCAAGGAAACAAAGGTAGCAGGAGACAAAGTCAAGATCTGAATCCGGGCTTCATCACTCCTGTTTTATAAGGAAGCCTCTCCAAGCCACAATGTTGAGTGTGTTTTTCAAAGCCGTGCAGCTGAGGGTTGAGCAGAACCCCAGAGATGCTGAGCGCCCAGTGTGGTCACTGCTGCAGCCTGAACAGGTGGGGCCGTAAAGACCAAGGGCCTGGCTCTCCCCAGAGAGAGGAGTGGGAGCCGTATCTCTATCAGGATGGGAGACGGAGGACTAAACAAAGACTAACCTTTGATGAGCATTGTATTGTTTTTGAAGTAAAGCGACTCTGGGTGAATCTCCCAGTCTCAGGGAGGTTCCGTGTCTTCATCTCTGCAATGGGAATTCCGGGAGCATGAAGTGAGATGACGTCTCTAGAAGCCCAAGGCTCTGTCGGCTCTTCACCTCTCTCAGGCTCCATCTGCAGTCACGCCCAGCTCCTACTGTTGGCGCATCTGGACCCTTCCTCGGCACCTTGGGGAAAAAGTAAAAGTCAAAAGTAAAGGTCTTGGGGCGAAGGGTATGCCTCAGAGGTAGAGCACATGCTTAGCATGCATGAGGGCCTGGGTTCAATCCCCAGTACCTCCATTAAATAAATAAATAAATAAATCTAGTTACCTACCCCCCCAAAAGTAAAGGTCTTTGCCCCTGCATATACCCTGGGAGCTCACCTTCCATCATCACCTTCTCTTACATAGGTTGTTAGGCTCCTTAAAAGAGCAAACAGATGCAGAAATGCAACCTCAGAGTGTCTGATACCCACAGAGGCCCCCGGTTAAGTGCTAGCTCCCTTGACAAATGATGAGCTCCTTGCAGACCAAAACGTATGCTGCTTTTTAAACCCTCTAACTTGTAGTATCCTGCAGCTCACAGTAAGTGCTAAATGTCTGCTTATCGAATCTGTTAAGCACCTCCAGAGTTTGTATCCTTGTGCCCCTGATTTCCATACTCCTGGTTCGGTTGACATCCAGCGCTGTTTGGCCCCCTCCAGATGCCAGGTGCTTGATGCAGGAATCCAGGGACCGACTTGACACAATTCTCCAAAAAGTGTCTTCAGAAGGCTCACCCAGTTCAACAGGAATTGAATTACTTGTGTCGTTCCTTGTTGGCAACGCTTTTGTTGCTGCTATTGGCTTTTATGATTATGGTTGTTGTTTTCATCAAGGACGAAGTCTGAACTTTGTAATGTATACAAATCAGGATTGGCCCGTGTTCATAAAACGCTTTGCACTTACTGACTTGTCCCTGCTTGTTACACTTGCCCTGGTCTCTCACTAGGTGCCAGGAGGGACGAGGAACTCACTGCTGGAGAAGCAGACGCTGGAATAAGTACCTTTCATACAGTGCGACTCCTGGAACCATAGAACCGGCTACAGGTGGGAGAGATGAACTCAATGCAGGAGTGCTGCCCTAAAAGTGGTGATCTCAGCTGGGTGTGAATTTCATCATGGGACGGTCCCCCCATAAGCCATTCGGTCTTGGCTAGCTCTTCTGAGTGGATGAGTGACCTGCATCTTCAGGGTGAAAAAATGTCCAACCCCACAGGGTCCTTTTCCCTCCATTTAGTATATAATGTTACCTCAGGAATGGGCATCTAATCAGACTCTGTTTCATGTTATCATTTGCCAGTTTCACCCTAGGATTGTGCCTCACAGGAGCTCCATAAAAGTTTGTGACCCATCTGAACTGAACGATGAAGTCTAGCCCTGCCGCTAGAAGACGGCAAGTTTCTTAAGACTAGAGGCCGGTCTGGAGGCTGGTAGTCTCTACCTGCATTTTAATTTCTCTGTCCTCACTGCAGCTGGCTCCTGCTAGGCCAGCAACCTCAGACAGTCAGCATCTCCCCAGGAATCTTGCCCAGTCTGAGGCTGCCCCCGATCCCCCGTGCTCCCATTGGACTCCAAGCCTCTGTGACCTGGCACCCACGTGCTCATTTGCTTGTCTCTCCTAGACTGATCTGGACAGCAGAGTGCGACTCAGTCATCTATACCTTTCTCCATGCCTGGAACGTAGGCGGTCTTCAGTAGACACATGCTGAGTGAAGAAGCAAATGACTGTAATTTCCCCTAACAGGGATGAATTTCCCTGAGTGGAGTTTAGGTTTCCTGTGGACAGAGCTGTGTCACCCATTGAGAGGTGGAGTAAGTCAGGCTCTAGGAGAAGAGTGTTGATGTCAGAAGGGTAGTATGGTGCCAAAAGATGGAAGACAAGGACTCTTTCTTCTTCCTTTTTTTTCTTTTTCCAGATTTCCCTCACCTTTGGGATTCTTTTGGAAACCTGGAAATAATTCTTTAAGGAAAACTTAGTCTGTGATTTCAAGAAGGCTCAGGTGGGCCAGGTGTTTCCTGCACTGGGGCTGGTCCAATCCAGTTTTCCTGGCTGAGTGGAGCTGCCATGACTCGGGGAATGTTCTGGCCTTGGATTACTGTGCAGGACAGAGAGCAACTCAGTCTCTACAGAGAAGGGAGGTTCTGAGCCCTCAGACACAAATGCCAGTTTGCCAGGCCTCCAACATCATTACCAACAGTTGATATTTCTGGGTTACAAAACATTTTTAGATTATTTTCGAAAATCAAAAGCTGAGAACCCAAAGATTTCTGTTCTCAGTGGGGAACCAACTTCATTCAGCTAATACTCAGTATGCACCATTTAAAAAAAATAAACCTCAGAAACACCACAGAAAAATCACAAGGAGCTTCCCTGAAACGCAGAGGAGCTGTCTGTTTGCAAACAGAATCACCACAACCTTTCTTTAAATGACAAGCAACCCCACAACCTCGAAACATGTAGATTTCAAGAATGTGACACTCTCGGGAAACACCAGGCACACACCGGGGGCCGGGGGTCCTAAAATATCCCACAGTTGTACAATGCAATTTTAAGCAAACAAATAGACAAATATCTATTGTTCCTTATGCATGCAGAATGTACAGAAACTTAAATCCTTCTTACGTTCAAGACTTCAACATGTCATGATGGTTTGACTTTTCTTTGTTCACATACAAACTGCATGCACTAACTATTTTTCTATCTTTTCTTTTAAATCGAAGTGTTAAAGCCAAAAGTAACATCAGAAGTCAGGGAAAATATGAGAGATTTTAGCTGGCGGTGACTGTATAGAGCAGAGTTGAGAAGTAGTCTGAGGCCATGTTTGGATTCAGCCAGAAGGCACGCAGCGATCAGCTAAGGACGTCTGTCCTGGGTGTGTGAGTGGAGAATCATAACACACCCAGGCACATATTTGTCATCCCTGATCCTGTTCGTAAATCTCGAATTATTGGCAATTAAACTGATGCCCAAGGGAGCTGAACTGTCTAAGTTCACAAAGTGAATTTCTTTTTAAAGGGCTTGGAATTGTGTGGACAGAATCATTAGGCTATTTTTATGAGCTTAAGAACCACTAGTATTCAATCTGTAGGGCTTAGAAAAGTCAGCTCACCTTGGTATTAAGGATCTCAGGCAGCTGAGATTCTCCACCTTACTTGGGTCAAGCCCCACCCAGTAGCTCAGAAAATATACTCCCATTGAATAGCACCATACCACCCACTGGACAGCCCTTTTCAACTGGATTTGAAGTTTAATGAATAGAAATCACAAATGCCAGATATCACCATCTGCCTGAGGCCCCTGGGGCCCACCACACCCCGAATTCTTGAAACCTCTCCACGAGTGTTAGTCTGGGACACTGATGTTCGTCAGAGATGGGGGTGATGCTCACTCTAACATTGAGCCCACATGCCTTCTGGTCCATGTGCAGTGAGGTGTGATCTTACAGACAATGCCCAGCTGGAGGACCTCCTTCTCCGTGCTTCAGTGGTGGCTCTGGTGTTGTCGTCTATAGAAACAGTTTCCTAGTCATTCAGGCTTTCTGTAAGACTGTCCTCTCCTGCCCTCTTCCCACCCAGGTGAGACCCCTTCTCCAAGCTTGCTTAATCCCCTGTGAGTTCCTCAATTACCCATCCTACCTTCTTACGACCATTCACTAGAGACGGAGATCTTCACAAGGGCCGGGAGTAAGTCTTATTCAACATCACAGCTCTAGAAAGTAAGCACAATGTCTGGCCCAGAGCAAGGGCTTCGTGAGCATCTCCTGCATGAACGAATGACAGAATGGATGAATGATGTCTTCTTCAAGTCTATCAGCACAGTGTGGTTTTATCTTTACTGGAACGATTGTAACCTAGTTGTTCCAGGCAAGTTTTCCCAAGTTATGTTCTGTGAAGTCTTGTAGTGCATAAGGTAACTGTTGTCCTGAAAAATTAATAAATATTTTTTTTTAATTCCTGGGAATTTTTTTCTAAAATGTAGTTTAACTTATACATAAGAAATAGTGTGTGTGTGTGTGTGTGTGTGTATTCTTTAACACAGCATGTGATGCATGAAGTTCTGGTCAGAAGAAATGGAGAAACAGCACACCCCACATTGGAATGCCTGGTGGTCTCATGAGAAATTCCTGACTCACAAACCTGGAACAGCCCATGACAGTATGACGCGCAGGCAGCTCCAGCCAACTCGTGTATATTGCCTTTTGGATGACTGTCGGTCTCTGCTACATACATTTCTTAAAGGAGTGCCATATATTTGATATTACTCAATGTTTGTTGTGCCTTAAACATATGGATCAAAATGCAATCATTTCTTACAACAAAGAAATCATCCAGGACACATTTTATTCCTGTCTGTTTGCATCCAAATGTACATTATATTTGTAAGGCCCTCTGGTATTCCATCAGTATACTATTTTTTTTTAAAGTTTCTTAGATGTGGAAGTCTGAGAAGTACCACTCTTCTATGAGCATATCATTGAATTGTTCCTGCTCCAATTTGCAGGTTTCTTGGGGGAAACAGGCAGAGATTTGAAAACGGAAGGGGGTGGATGGAGGTTTGGAGATAATAAAATGAGATTCCACAAAAGTTTAAATTTAAAAAGACGTGAAGCTCTTATAAACCTACTATTTAACCAGGATGGTGAGGGAGCTGTAAAACATACATGAATAAACAGAAATAAGCTTGTAAAGATAAAAACTCTCCAGTTAGATTTTAAAACAAAAACCAGTGGATTTTTTAAATACATCGGACTGGTACACAAACTGTCACAGAAAGTTTAAAATAATAAGTATGCAACAGTGTAAGTTGCATAAACATGAAGAGAAAGTAGTAAAAGTTAAAGATTAGACAAAGCAACTTCGAAATGGTGAAAGGAAACAAAAACCATTTCTTATTGATAAAATTAACAATCCCCAATGAGCACATAATAGTAACAAGCTCATTAAAACTAAAAAACAGCAATTCTGAAAAATAACCCAAAGAAGTTGAAGATTTTACATAATCACTAAAGCTCTACTTAGATCATTTAATATTTTTAAATAAGAATATGGAATGAATAAACATTTTGACCAAAAGTTTTTCTTAATGAACCCTCCGCACTAGAGAAAGAGTGATGGGAAACAGAAAAAAACTATAAAGACTGGAAT